CTGGAGCGGTAAGCTGCAGGACTCAAAGGATATAATCTCTCGGTGGCCGCAAAGTTCCCGAAGACCTTGCCCAAGAATGCCACAGCGGAGGGCTCGTCGATGCGCAAATGCTGGACTTTGGCACCGCCTCGCGTCGAGGATTTGGGTCCCTCAAGTCGTAGGAACACGGCCTGAACGTCAGAGAAGTGGTCCTTGGGCAGCAAGAGGTCGAGCCGGCTGGCCCTGAGAACCTCGCCGATCCTGGCGATGCCGTAGAACGCCGCAACCGTGACAGCGGCCCATCTGCGAAAGCCTTTGAACCAGCCTACAACAACCATCGCCTTCAGGATGACCTCGGGCACGGGGGTGCGGTGACGTACCGGTTGCTGCCGTTCCCACCGCGACACAAGCTCCCACGCCGCGCCCAGTTGACCACGAGCGCTCCAAGATAACCTCTGCCCAGCGAGGATCGCGTAGCGGAAGGTCTGCAAGGAGCCCCCAGTCGCAAACAGCCAGTTTCCATAGGATCGCAGAGCCATGGCTAGCAGCGCGGGGCAGCAGGTGAAAACAGGCGTGGGGTCGAACGACAACGACGACGAACACCACGCGAGGAAAGAAGCCCAAGCACGCAAACCGAGGAACTCCGAAGTCCGGGAGTACAAAGGTTGAGACTCAAGATCGCCTCCTTGGGCTCGATTGGCAGGCCGGCGAGGCCCGGGATTTGCGGCTTCGCCAACCCTGCAGCAGTTCGGCAACTTGGCACAGGCCGCAGGGTCAAGCGGGCGTGCGGCAGTCCAGCCGGCATATGCAGCAAGGGCAAGCGCCAGAGCGGACTCATAATCCCTAGGCCGATGCCGAGCGACAGCAGTCCACGGCCTCTGGTGTGCAGAAGAAAATCCATGCAGACAGCGATGGCCGCTCTTGTCACACAGGAGTCTGGCTCCAGAAAGGCTGGTGTTGGTGGCAACCCGCGACCGCTTGCGCCAAGGAGCGCCGAACCTGCACAAATCGACCCTCCAAACCTTTCCAGATGCAGGCGACGAGGCTTGGGCCCAGCCGGGCGTTCTCCACCAGAAAGATGTGTCCGGGCAGTCGACGGCGTAAGCAACAGTCTTAGCCGCGCAAACCTCAGTTACTTCAGCAACCCAAGCGGCTCTGGCATTGTCACGGCGAACCTTATACCAGGACTCGGGGCTAAGGTGAGGAAACCCTAGGGGATGAGAGGTGCTACGGGGCATGCGGCACGACGCGCGGGACATGGAACTCGCAACCGGCGCAGCGCACACAGCAAGGAAAGCACCTGCACTCAGCAGCCGCATCAGGCGAGCTCGGCAAACAGAATCATCAGGGTTATGCTCGGCACAAAAGCTTGGCTCAAGACACAGGACCCATGGGCAGCCCCACCCTAACAACTGCCTAGCTAGGCCATTCCTGCCCCCAAACAGCAGCAAAGCTCCAGGCAGGCTGAGGTCGAGACCGGAAGCCTTAAAGGCGTAGAGTTGCCGAGGGAAGGCCACGAGGTCATCGTGAGAGGCTTCGCTTTTCACCGATGCCCAGACGGCATCAAGGCCTGCAGCAGCAGAGATGCAGGCGCTGGGTTGCCCCCCTTCGCCCGCAAACATGGCATCCCGGTGGCGTCGTTGCATACGGGAGGCATGGCGGCCACCGAGCTCGAGTAGCTGATTTTGGTCGAATTCATCACCGTCCGGCCCGAACCCGGCCTCAATGGTGGCACGCTCAAGGGCGGAACAGCTCCCGCGGGTGAGAGGCGCCCACCACGAGGGAGCCTCAGCGGCAGGGGGCCGAATTTGCTTATGACGCGTACCATCGTCAGCCGGATTCAGGGAGCTCGGATAATAGATGGCTGCCGTTTGGATCTGAAATCCCAGCACCGGCGCTATTGAGCGAGCGAGGAGCTCGTTCAATCTCGGCGAGGCTGACCTCCCCTTGGCCACGCAGCCTATTCCGACCTGCGAGTCAAGGGCAAACACGTGTCGGCTGCAGGGTGAACGGGCACCTGACCTGGCCTCTTCAATCAAGAACGCTTCAAGCTCACCAATATTGATGTGCACGCGGCTAGAATACTTGCGCCTCCAAAGTTCGCGGTAGGCCGGAACAGTGGCCAGGCCGCAGTAAAGAGGAAGTGCCTGATACACGTCACCGCCTGGAAGCTCGTTCGCCTCGCTCAGCATGTCATGTTCCCTCAGCCACGCACCCGGCTGCGACAACAGACGAGTCCAAGCTCCCCGCTGCACGCTTTGCCGAAAAGCCTCGTGAGCGACGGGTCTCGGCACGGTGGCCCGCACGGCAGCCTGCCACGTGCTGGACGCATCGGTGGCCGTGATCTCAGGCATAACCGGGGCCCGCAGGTTCACAGCACACAAGGGCCCGAGAAGGGCGAGCGAAGAGAGCTCGGCCCGCAACTCAGGGGACAGCCTGATGACGCTGTTGTGCTCGCCGGCCGCTGCCTTGAAGACTAGATCCATGGCGGCTAGGAGCCTCCTTTTGAGCACAAAGACGGAGATCCAACACCCGGTGATCGACTCCAGCAGGTGCCGCGTAGCGAGCCCTAGCTCGACGGTGCGCAATGTCACAAGAATCAGAGGCCAAAGGCGGTGCGGGTTGGGTTTGAGCCACCCGCTCGCACCACAGACTGTGATGCCCCAGAAGCTCGCCTGCACCTTGTTGCGAAAGACTTTCGAGTCGGAGACTTCGAGGGGAGCCTTCCTGTAAGCCTGCAGCGCCGCGTCAAGCCTGGAGGACCCCGCTCCTGGAACATCACCCGCGCAGACCCGGGCGACCTGAGAGGAAAGCACCTGGTCTAAGCACACGAGGTCGTCGATGACCAAGCCGATGCTGAGGAGGCCCCTCGGGGGCGAAGCTGCATGCACCAAAAGTTCACCAGGCCTAACCACCCCACCCTGCACACAAACCCCAAGGTGAGAGCACTGTGCGTACTCGCAAGCCCCACAATCGCCCATGGCGAGAGATGCGAATGCGATGTGTACGAAGCCCTTATCATCGGCATGTGCGTGCATGGGCCGCCTAAAAACGAACCCGGCTTGCTCCACCGACAGCCGGTCCGCGAGCATGTTGCGCACGACACGGTCCGGAGTGGCAATGAATTGGTAAAAGCAATCCTTAAGGTCCGCCCCTGAAAACAGATAGGTGCGGTCCCTGGGCAGCACGAGCCCTGTCACAGCAACCGCCGAAGCGAGCGTCTTCGACCACCTGGAGCCACCATCTTCAAGACCGTTGGCGGGTCTTGCATCGAGTATCAGGCGGTCCCGGGCAGCATCTTTGCCCACGGCAAAAAGGCCAGCCCCAAACCCTCGCCTCTCCGGAGGCTCCTGAAGGGGAACAAGTCGCTTGGTGTCGGCGAGGTTGCGGTACAGCTTCAACTTCTCGGGCACAGTGGCGAGGACCTTGACTCTCGGTGGCGCGGGGCACCCTGCCGGGTCGCGAGCATAGTCCAGAGGCTTGTTGTAGCGGTGCGCAGTCCGGGCGTCCATGAACTCCTGGGGCCTAAACAAGGGTGCTCTAGGCAACTTGATCCTATCAGCCACAATCGGACGGGCCACAGTTGGGCCAGGGCCAGGCAGCGAGGGGCTCTTAACGTAGGCAGCCGATGAGGGAGCGGCCTCATCACAGCTGCGCTGACTGGCAGCCGTGTCAAAGCGAAAACCCTCACCGGACCCCAAATAACCCCACTCCCGGCCCAAGCACTCAGCGGCGCGGCCGAGGGCGGACAGGACATCAGTCTGGGATTCAACTTTCGCAGCGTGCCGCCCAAGGTCGGCGGCAGAAAACTCAAACGGAAAATGCACGCCAAACGCGGCCGCCTCCAACCTCAACACGCACAGCCTCTGGCGTTTATTCAAAGGCGTGCCAACCCTGATCTCTGCAGGACAACAAGCCGGCTTGCCGAGGTACAACCAAGACAAACAAGCAACGGCCAGGCTGATGTACTTGAGCTTCCAGCCGCGGCGCCCGCATTGACGATGAAAAACCTCAGGGTAAGGGATCGGAGAGGGCCATGTAAAGCATGTGGGTGCCGACGCGGCACCACCGGCCAAAGATGAGCGGAGAAAAGCGGAAAAGGTACCGCCAGCTTTCAAAAGGAGGCGGGGTAACGAATTCAGAAGTCCAGGGACCGACAGGTCTGGGGCACGAGCTCCCGGCACGGATCCGCTCGGCCCAGGGCCAGCCTGAACATCCTTCATGCAGCTTTCTCGGTCTTGCGCGGTCGGCGGCCTCCCCCCTTCGGCGGTTGCTCCTCGTCTTGCTCGTCCGCGGCGTTGTCCCTGGGCGGCTGTCCGAGGCGGCCCTTGTTGAGGCGAGCCCTTTTCTCCACGAAGTCCGCCTGGTCTTTCAGGTGGGCGATCGCAACTTCCGCCCACCTGGGGTCCAACAGCCGGCTGTAGACCTGCCCCGACTGATGGTGCTCGTGCTGGCGGTATGCATGGAACGGCGGACCGACCTCGAGCGCTAACTCGGCGGACAACACCCAGCTGCCGTGGTCTATGCTCATTTGGTCTAACATGAGCAATCCGATGTTGAGCCGTGCTCTCGCTTGCTGAGGGCGGTTGGTCCTTAGACAGTCCAATGCCCCCGCTATGATCCAAGAGGCCCAAACAACCGTGGCATGCGACGATATCTTCGACCTGTGCTCCGTCCAAGCTCGCGCTGATGTCTGGCCGGGGACAGCGACGCCCGGTGAGGCAGATGCCAAATCTTCTGCCATCAACGTCTCGATCACATTGCTCAGCTCCGCCGGATTCGCAGAAAGAGCGTCTCGCAGAGCCTTGCGAGCAGCAGAGCTCCGCCTCGCTCCCGGCAACCCTGGCCCCTCGCCCGAACCACTTCCGGCGCCGTCGAGGGCACGCTCCAAAGTTGAGGATCCCTTCGCCGAGCTCCTGTGATACCCTTCCATCATGCGGAACATCGCTGCTGCGAACGCTTCCGCCTGGCCATGCCCGGAGGACGGATGGAGCAACGCCGCCGTCTCGCCCGGCTGGTCGCCCGATCCAAGCTCTTCGTCCCCAAGCTCCTCCTCCCCTTCGGACTCGTCGAGGCCCAGGCCGGCCCCAAGTGTGGCCGCTGGGGGTTCCCCCTTGAGCCGGCTGCCGCGGCCTCGTCGCAGCAACCCTTCCATCTCTGACAGCGCCGCATCGGACACTCCTGCGGCTCGGGCAGCTGCTGCCACGGAGGGGTCCAAACCCACCTCGGTGGGCGGGGCAGTAGCCGCGGCGGTGCCTTTCAACGCTGCCTTCTTGGCCCGAGCCTTGGGCGCTGCCGCCGTGGACTTGGCTTGAGCTCCCCTTGTCAAGGAGAGCACCGCTTCTTCCAGCCGACGGAGCCTTTCGCCCATGATGTCCTTCTCGGTCCCAGACTTTGCCGACTCGGCCGAGGCAAAGGAGAAATGATCGTTGCAGGCGGCCAGAAGGGAAGGCACAAAGGGAAGTAAGTCCTCCCCAGACGCTGCTCTGCCGAACCCTATGCAATCCTCGGGCAGCTCGTCGGGTACGCTGATTGATCCCTCGGCCTGCGGGTCCACAAGCCCCAGCCACACTCGGATTGTGGATCCTTCGAGGCAGTCCCTCCTGGCAAGGCTGGCGCATGCAAGAACCTCGGCGCCTCCTACTCTGGCCATGAACCCCTTGGGCAAGGTTCGCCGTTGCACTTTGCGATGCCAAGCAGATGAAGGCACTGCCAAAACGAGCCTTCCATCTAGCTCCCGCACCAGCACAGCGGCCACAAGGACTTCGGCCCCATCGGAGGCAGTGCCGCACTGAATCATAGCCAAAGGGCATTCCAAATCCTCGAAGCCGTCGCCCGAAGCAAGGGCGTCCCGGGGGCTCAGCGGCCTCCCTTCTTCTTCGTCAGACATGCCTACCACTGGCTGGGCAAGGTAATGCCAGCCGCTGCACACACCGCAATCAGGTCGCCTCGGGAGGGCACCCCAATGCACACAGAGGATCCGAGGTCACTGCCTCGCTTGACCAAAGACTTGCAGTCGCCAAAGCGAGTAAAGACACCCACCGGCTCCAAAAGGTGACCGTTGTAATCACGTGTGACAATCCAGTAGCGAGACCCTCCCGGGAGCCTCTCGCGCCCAGACGGCCCTCGGTGAGCCCCGTCGGTGGCCCTGCGTAGGAACAGGCCGACCTCACGACAAGCGGCGCCGCGACTGCGCGGTGTGAGCGCAACCTCCCTAGAACCACTAGCTCGGGAAGCGGGACTAAACCCTAGGGAACCCGGGGTCTCGGGAGACCTTTGCGAAGGCCTGGCGGGTGTTGCTGCTGCAGAAGCCTGGGCTGAACCTAAAGCAAGGGATTCGGGCCTAGGGGACCCTGGGGCAGAACCTGAACGGCGGGTTTCGGGCCTAGGGGACCTAGGGGAACCCACAATCAAGAACTCAGAGCCGGAGCTTTCGATGACAGCGGTAAGCCTCTGCACAGAGGCCTGGAGCAGGCTAACCTGAGTTTCAAGGGCAGCCACGCGTTCAGCCAAGCTCATCAAAGGAGGCGGTAGTGCAGTTGAAGGCCTCCCGCTAGACGGCGAGAAGCGGCCCTCAGCAGGGCGGAGCGCAGCAGAAGCAGTCCCTCAAGAAGAGGCCAAGCTAAGAACCCCAATAAGATGCCCACCGCCAAGGACGGCCAATGAAAGTCAAAGTCCAAAGTGGCAGGGCAAAGGCACTCGGATAGAGGAGCAGGAAAAGGAGGAGAGTCGGACAGATGGTGAAGAAGATGAACGAGAAGTCCAACGGCTGACGACGACCCCACGAGTGCCCTAGAGCTCATCCAGAGCACCAACCGAAAAAGCTTCGGACATTCCGCCGTTAAAACATGCTAAGAACAT